ATAGCGCCTCTCTAATATTATCCTGGAACTAATCTTCTGTTATTTTTTTCATCTGTTATACCGATATTGGACGCACACGTATGTAAAAATAGTCGGACAAGAATATTTTTTACATTAGACTTTTCAGCCCAATTTTAATGGTTCCATAACATTCTATTCTGCAGTCCGCAATTCGGGCTGCTCTTATTCAACGTCTTAAAACTGTTAAACTTTTATAAAAAACGAAAATAGATAGCTCTATACAATATGTTATCCTAAGAGCAGAATAGAAATTAATGAATAGAAACAAATTTTGTTATTAATTCTTTTTTTTCCTAAATAAAATCGAGCAGTCCGAATTCCGTTTTTGTGTACACTTTACTCCTGCAAAAGGATTTACAATTCTATGCAACCAATAAAAGATATTCTTGTTCGAAAAAATATAATGTCCGGCCGGTAACTCCAGCATCCCCTTAACAACCCTAACAGCACACGATATCCTGCGTATCATCCCATTTTCATACTCATTCTACTGTGATTATCCGTTAAATACTGAGATCAATCCTATAATATCTTTTGCAGTGTTATTCGCACACGTATAATCTCAGGTTTGACTCAAACGTACGGAAGTGATACGTACGCACTTCTATCGCGCGCGTATAATCTCAGGTTTGACGAGACCAGCACTCAAGATCTATAGAGAGAAGGTTACCTCAGGAAAACCGGTTGTTGGCGAGGGATGATGAAGTAAGGGGGGAGCTAGAAACAGCTTGGTGGCGAGGGGCGATGAAGGAAGGGGAGAGCATGATGATCTCATCGACAAACAGTAGCTGTCTGAGATAGCTTCTGTTTGCCGATGAGATCATCATTGCCTTTCTTGCCGCTCGCCCCGCTCAGCATTTGTCCCTCATGCCGCTCATCCCTCTTTGCGCGTGAGGTAACCTTCTCTCTATAGATCTTGACCAGCACTAACCTGCGCCATTTACATACGTAATTCCTTTTCCCGCTTGTCCGGCATCAAGTGACACCACGCAACACCACGTATCCGAGGTTTTACTGATATCGAAGGTAATTCTTTTTTCCTTTAAGTTTTATTTCACCAAATAGTGAATAAAGTGTAAGAGCTAGATAGTGTTTGTATATAATTTTTGTAATATTTTTATTATTTTTTATGTATTTGTTAAATTATTTTGCTTAAAATATTTTAAGGTTATGTTCGTAAACTTGCATTATAATTGCCTCTCACCTCTTTGGTTCTTGGTTAAATATACAATATATTTTCTTAATTATTTTTTAAACAATGTCTTAAAAAGATGATTTAACATAAAACTGTTTTCAGTTCGCAGTATCGTTCCTTTGAAGTTCTCTAGCTTAGGCTTCTAGAACTTTATTTTATATTGTAAGTTTTATGTAAATATTTTTACGCTTACGGTCGTAATTTTGAAATACAAATATCAATTAATAAGAAATTGACTGATTAATTAACCTAATCTAAATTATCCTATACAATATATAAACGCGCAATATATATTCAGCGCTTGGCTGTGTAAATGTGTGCATGTATATGTGATCTACTGCAACATTCCCATTTTTATCCTATCTTGATACTGTCTTTAAACTATAGACCTTCCTGCGAAATTCTATGGAAGATGGTACCGCGGACATACGATGATTCCTAGAACGTACTACATACATCGCAGTAGATTTGAGAATGTTCTGAGAATATTACAATTATACTTTTGCGATATTCTCAGATTGTTCTCAGTATCTATATGTGCTGTTAGGGAATATGATCGTATCAATCCAAATAATTTTTTTTGTAATTGAATCAAATAAATCTTTTTCTATATAATTTATAAATAATAAATTGCAACATCAATTATAATATTACGCTAATGATAATTCTTCATGAATTTTTAGTTTTTTAAATTTAAAAAGTTATTGTTTGTAGATTATTCTTTGCAGTTAAGTATTAATTAAAATACATTTTAAATCATTCCAAAATTTTTAAATAAAACAAAAATCAATTTTGTCAGCGTCTAATGTTGCAAAGTACGTCATAAAATAGCGCGTGACAACAATTACAGGGCGGTATTCATAGTCCGTTCTTATATTCAAAATTGTCTTAAGCACGGACTTATATTTGCTCTCTTCGTCACACATAGATTGTGTCTGACGAAGAGAGCGAATATAAGTCCGCCCTTAAGACGATCTTGAATATAAAGACGGATTATGAATACCGCCCATAGTCTTTTTATTTGTCTCAATATAAATTTAATGAAATGTGATTAATGAAGAGCGAAATACACATTCACATATAATTATATCGGTGATCAAGTGTCTATATATTTGACAAAATTATATTTAAAAAATGTTTATATTTTATTCTACACAACGTATCCCACTTCAACTGTCACACAGTGAATCAATAACTCGAAATGGCATTTTGATAAAAAATATTTCAAATAAAAGTTGTAGGGTTTAAAATGATCTATTTACTGATCTTATCAGTTTGACCTTGGATGGCGTCGCCAAAAGAGATGATATCAGAAAATGACGCCAAGTTTAAATAAAAAACTTTCAAAAAAAGTTGTTTATATATCTAGTTATTTATTTAGAAATGATATTTGTATTTATATCTAGTTAATTTTTTTTAAGTATACTTTTTAAAATAATTGCATTTGTATCTAATTATTTTTTTTATATCTGTATCTAGTTAAATAAAAAATTTTTTTAATAAAAGTATTTAATTCAAAAATAAATAAAATTTTTTCAAACTTAATCAAAATAAAAAAATATTGCAAAATTTCGCAAAAAACTTGAACTTTTTTTAATATAATATATTTTTGAAAGAACAATTTTTTGAAAAGGTTTTTTATGAATACAATGGCTGCGTTCAGCAGAACAACTGCTGAATTGTCGTTTAGTCAACACTTAACGTTGATTTGTTGGTTCTAAAAGTAAGAGCCAATCATGTTCGATTGCTACCAAGCGATTTGTTCTGCTGAACGCGCCCAATATGATCTCAAAATGCATACATTTTCCTATCTGGGAACATCTGCAGTATAATATCATGGATATTATGATCCTCGCCGATTAACTTGAAGAAGAATACGTAGTCCAGGCACTTGAGACTAATTGAACGAATAGATGGCAGGCGCAACAGCAGTTTAGCAAACCTGCCGGAGTCACCCGGCCAGGATACGCGGGTATATTCCTCCAGGGCGGCATAGATCTTCTCTCGCAGCAGGTTGACCTTCTCGACGGATTTGAGGCCTTGCACTTCGGGATTGAAGAGAATGATGGATCTACACACAGATAAATCTCGTCGATACTAAATCGAAAGTTACGATTTATCTCAATTAGTGTTATAGTAAAAAAAAAGTCAGATATTTGCAAGGTTATGAATGTTTCTTTCGAATTCAAGAAAGAAGAATGATAGAGTGCAAATAATAATACGTATCGACATACACATTTTGCATGTCGAATGAATCAGTCGTATGAATCAAAGAGTATATTGAAGACGACATTATTAAAGAGCATTTTCGCCACTTACCTAAGACATTCGAGTTCGGTCCTATCCATTTTCATCTCCCGCATCTTCGCTACCAGTTCCGAGAGTATACGATCGAATATCCCTACTGCGCCCGCCTGCTGTGCCGAAGTTCGATGCACCGTCATACTTACTGTGAGAACAATACTATCCTTATCCTTCACATCCATGGAACGATGGGAGAAGGCGGCTATCAGCAACTCATTCCAGCCATTTTTAAGAAGACACACTTGATCTTCTAGAGGCAACGAGATAAAATGCGGGATGTGCCTCGCCCAAGAAAATATCTGCAATAGTTGTTCGACCGTTGTGTGGCAAATGTGCGTCAAACAGTTCTAAACAGAAAAGAGCAAATTAATGCAGGAATTTGCATTAGGCGGGAAAAGGTGAAAAAGCATTATACTACTAACAAAATTATACTACTAGTATACTACTAACTAAAAATCCACTAACAGCAATTATACACTGGAAGTGTGTTCTTTTTATGGAATGGTAAATTTTCACACAAAAAAAAAATTTACCAAATATTGGGAATTAGGGTAATATTCTTCGAAGAGTTGTTTTGCATTGTGCTTGACAATACTTTAACAATGGGAACACTAAAACAGAATTTTGAAATTTTACACACATATTTGTCGGCAATTCAACACACACAAGAATTTTTTATTTTATTATTTGCAATGTTAAATAATTAATAAATAATTAATAATTTTGTGCAGTGTTCAAAAAAGTTGTGCTCTTATAGCTTCCACGATTGTTTTAATTTCTTGAAACAAAAAAGAAAGATTATTAATCTGCATACTTGTGGCTATTGTTCCTACCAAAATTCAGAATAAAAATTTACTTATTGCAAATGCATTACTTAAAAAAAATTTTAACTTTTGATTAATTTAAATTTTGGGAGCCCTTAAAAAATTGAAATATTAAAAACATCAATTTTATTTTGGCATCGACTAGAACTGGACATTTATTTTGTATGTCTGTAAAATAATTCAGTCTTGAGATTTTAAGAGAACCAGTTTGAGAAACACGGTTTCAAGAATGCATTCAAAGTTGCTCGCAGTCTTTCAGGTAGTTGCTCGCAACTACCTGAAAGGAGGAATTTGCTCTAGCTTCGTTATTTTACTTGACCCAAGTATGCCATTTCAGGGACATATTTTTTAAATATTATACTTTTAAGTTTTGTAATTAAAGAAATCGATTTTTTTATTTCTTGAAAGGAGAATATTCCCTTAATAATAATTAATAGTAATTAATTCTTTTACTCTGGTTTTTATTGCCTTTTTAAATATCGCTTAAAAATTATTAAATTTTGATAAAAGTTGATTATTTATGTATTCTGATCTAACAAACCTTTTTATAACATTCTTCACATTTGTTCATTTTTTCCTGATCTTTCCAAACGATCTGATCACATTCACACCATGATACGGGGTGAATATTTACCGCGCGTATATTTACTGCGAGTGCTGTGAAATTCATTTCCTTCAGCTTGCAATCGACCCGTTTTTCAGCCTCGAGGATGCGCTCGATCGATATGTCCGCGTGCAGATTGCTCGTGCTCTCAACCTCGCTCTGATCTCGTTCCTTGGTGCGTTGACCTTCCTCCTGTACCGGCTCTCTCTTCATCTCCATGGCAAAGCACTTCTAGTATCGCCAGTATTGACAGCGATTTCTCTGTCGCTTGTTGATGTGCAGAATTTTTCTTCGCGACAGGCATATGTCAGATCTTTACGCACAGTCCTCTTGATATTCTCAACTTTTGGTTTCAACCGGAAGTAGGCTATTCAGACCGAAATTATTGAAAGTTCAGAAATAGGATTAAAAATTATTAAGAAGAATTAAATAAAATTCAGCATTATTGTAAATAAATTCTTCTCAGTAATTTTTAATCCTATTTCTGAACTTTCAATAATTTTTCGTTTACTAGGTTATATGCATAAAAAGCTCTTTATAATGAAATCAAAATGAGCTCAGAAGTCGACGCATCCGAGTACATTATGAGCACGTTCTAAACACCTTCTGATCTAAATTTATCAACTCAGAAAAATTTTTGGAACTCTTTAGGAGTATTATATGACGTTATCATGCGGTCTGGGTATGCATTCAGTAAGACAGATTTGTTACTTATTTCTGTGCGTAATGTAATACTTTGTTGGAATAAAAAATGACTCTTTTAGTAATAAAAGATTACTGACTTGTAGCCTGTGGATCTTCTGAAATGGCCAAAGCTTGTAATAATTTAAACAATGTCTTCGAACAATGCCTTATTACTCAATTTGAGAGTAATCCACGAGATGACGAGCTAAATGACGCTGGTGCGATATTAATTGTCATTTTTATATTGATAGCCAATCACATATTTAACTATATTTTCATCCAGTTCACCTAATGTAATTGATATAAGTATATTTAAAACCCGCAACACACGGTACTATTTTCTCTGCTGGATTGCTTACTTGTGCTTGTGCTAGTAATCTTGCTGTCTGCTAGACTGGAAATTATGTGTCTACTGATCACGCTACTAAGGGTGCCGTCTCAGGCCGGCGTCACATAGAACCCGTAATCCATAAGGCGGGAGCACAGACTTTTGCATAAAGCATAACG